ATATATATGGCAATAGAATAAATCCAAACAAAGTAAATGGAAGGGTACACAGATATGACTAAGTAATGAAATAGAAAATAAGGGTAACAATAAAAATAGGAAAAACAAGTGTTGGTTCTTAGAGAAAAGTAATATAAATAAGTCTTCCGTGAGATTTATTAAGCAAAAAAGACAAATCACTGCAAATCATAAATAATTATATTAGGAACTTAAAGGAAGCCATAACTACAGAGACAGCAGAGATAGAAAAGACTAGGTAGAAAAAATCTTGTCAATGAGTTCCTAAGTGCATACAAAATGGCCAAAATCTTAGTGAAAAGTAATTTTCCAAAACTGATTTATGAAGAAATGAAAACCTTTAACAATTACATGGTCATTAAATAAATTTAATCAGTAGTTTAAAGCCTCTGTGTCTTTCTCTATGTCACACACATATACACACACACACACACACCACAAACCTAACAGATCCCAAAGGTATTATTGTCAAAATACTACATTTTCAGTGGAGATATCATTCCAAATGTATGGTACTATTTCCATAAAATGGAAAAAGGGGCTAATTTCCAATTCATTCTATGAGAACGCTATGATCCTAATACATAAACCAGGCAAAGACTAAGGAAAGTAAGAGTGACTATCGGCCACTCTGACTCAGGAGCACTGATATAAAAAACCAAAGTAAGTAGAAGGCATTGACCCTTCCTTCACCTTGAAGAACAAAAACCAAACCAAACCAAACAATCAGTGTACAGTTCAAGACAACATATTTGAAGTCAATGGTTTAAAAATACTAGGGAAACATGGTGCCATGGAGTGGCTGCCAGAAAAATTTAACGAAGAACATGAGACTAGAACTAAGTTTTAAAGAATAGGAAATATTTTCTTTTGGAGTAGAGGCAGAAATATCCTAAGAACTCATGAGTTTTGCATATGTGGGGAAGTGAGGAAACCTGTCAGTTTGGAATGAAGGGTATATTGTGGACAATAGTGAGAAATAAGGTTGGAGAAGGAGGTGGGGCTAAATGCTTAGTCACAATCAACCAAAACTGATTGGTTGAACACTTACCACGTGACTAAGAACAAGAGTTTGGAACTGATTGTCAGTTCAGTAGCAGACACATAATCTAGTTACGTGATGGATGAATGGACAGACAAATTGACTGATGGACAGGCAGATGAATGGATAGGTTTCATAACAATTTGTTGGGAAGTTAAGATTTGCCATAAATGGAACAGTTTTTCCAGAAGCTGAATTCTGTGGCATTCAGATCACTAACCCAAGCCAGGAGCACAGAGTTCCTGTGTGAAAGCCAAATGTAAACCGGGTATTACCTTCTTCAGCCGCAGCATCGGCAACAACAGCTTCCTCCTGTCTTTCCTCTTCTGCGTCTAAATCAATTCGTTCCTCCGTACTGTTTCGAAGGGCCCAGCACAGGCGGTAGAGCTGACCAGAGACCATACACAAGTCCATTAGTGATGGGAAACCATTTACAACAAAACAAGGGTACTCAAACAGCAGAAGAGAGTAGAGAGTAGAGATCACAAAGAATAGGCCTCCTACCACACCCACTCACCACAACACACTGACTACTTCAAATTATTTATTTAAAAAAATTCTTCTGGTCAAAAACCAAAAAATAAAATACAAACTCAGTGCCATCGAGTCGCATCTGACTCATAGCAACCCTTGTTTGGGTTTCCAGGGCAGTATCACTATGGAAATAGATTGCCCAACCTTCCTTCCAAGGAGTGGCTGGTGGGTTTGAACCTCCAGCCTTCTGGTTAGCAGTCAAATGTCTTAAGCACTATGCCACCAGAGCACCCAATCTTCTGGTAGTTATTGTTCTGGTAGTTATTCACAGTCTAAATAACAATCTTAAAGCTTCTACTTCTGGATTTGTAACTTCATGATAGATGAGGATCTAGCTCATTTACATTACACCCTGCCTTCACTCACTGGCCATATCACCCAACTATTGTCAGCTACGTCATTATTACTATCTGTACATCTAGTAGTTACTTTTATAACTTTTAAAATATCTTCTTAAGCAGTGTTCTGTATCTAGCATGTTTAGGTTGTATCTGTGTACTATTCACAAGTCTGACAGCAATTAACACCCTTACATATCACTTTTCCAATCCACCTCCCAACTTCTGTCAGCTTTTCCATTTATTTATTTATTTATTTGTGAGTTGGGTGAATATTTACAGAGAAAATTCACTTTCCATACAGCAGTTCACATATACTTTGTCTCATGTCATTGACCACAGTTTACCACAATGCAACAGCTCCCCTCCCACTTCCTCCCCATAGTTACCTCTTCCCAGTGTCTATCCCTCCATACAATCCTGCCCCCAGAGCTGTCTCCCTGTGCATAAGCAGCCCTTCTTTCTCCCATGATTGTTCTCTCCAAGGTGTGTATCTACTTGAGGTAAATGTTCAACTCACATGCCTGTACTTTGTTTGGCTGGAAACCACAGGTGTGGGTTCAATTCCAGACCTGAAGGGCAGCTAGGGGCCATAGTCTCAGTGGTTCCACCAGGCTCTATCAGACCAGCAAACCTGGTCCCCACCTTTTTTATTTTCCTCCAAATGATTTTGAGTTTTATTCCACATTGTTCTCCCTCTCTATCAAGGATCTCCTACATAGATCCCCTTACAAGTGGATGACAGTGGTAGCCAGGCACCATCTAGTTCTTCTCGTCTCATAGTTGTATAGGCTGCAGATCGGATGGTGTACCAGTAGCTAGGATTAATTGTTTCCATGAAGTTTGGTTTTCTTCATTCTTCTTTGCTGTGGACGAGGGGAGACCTATTGTTGCATCTAGATGGCAGCTTGCTAGCTTTTAAGATCCCAGTCACTACTTGCCAAAGTAGGAAGTGGAACAATGTTTTGTATAATATGTTATGCCAATTGAGCTTGCTGTCCCCTGAGACTATGGTCCCAAGCCCACAGGTTCAACTACTCAGTCCCTCTGGGTATCTGGCTGTGACCAAGCAGTGACCACAACCTTGCCCCTTGTCAGCTCTACTATACACCTGGGAATTCTGATCATTCACATAAACTTATAGGACCATTGTCTGCCAACCCTATATATGTTCTTGGATACACTCCCCATTTCATAGACATACCTAATCGCTTAGCCTGTCTACCCATCTATCCACCCATATACCCATGTTTGCCTTCACTGACAACACACTACTGTATGTGCAAAATGGTTCATATTTGTTGTCTGTACTTCCCATATACCTCTCTATGTCTTTCTCATCCTCAATGGTGCCATATTGGTCACTCACATTTGGTACATTGCCCTTCTCTTCACCCAAATCAATACTTATCTCTATCTATCTAACAGCATTCCCTCCCCTCCTACCCCTGGTAATCAACAAAGAAAATTTCCTTCTACAGATAAACCTTTCCTTAACATTTACAATAATGGACTAATACAATATTTGTCCTTCTGTGATTGACTTATTTCACTCAGCATAATGTCCTCCAAGGTCATCCACGTTATGCAGTGTTTTGCAGATTCTACATTATTCTTTAGCGTTGCATAGTTTTCCATTGTGTGTATGTACAATAGTTTGGTTATCCATTCCTCAGTTGATGGACATCTAGGTTGTTTCCATCTTTTGGCTATTGTAAATAGTGCTGTGATGAACATGGGTGTGCATATATCTGTTCTTGTCATGGCTCTCACTTCTTTAGGGTATATACCTAGTAATGGGATGGCTGGGTCAAATGGTATTTCTAATTCCAACTTTTGAAGGAATCACCATATTGCTTTCCCCAATGGTTGTACCATTTTACAGTCCCACCAGAAGTGTATGATAGTCCCAATCTCTCCACAGCCTAGCCAGCCTTTGTTATTTTCTGTCTTGTTGAACTTTGCTACTAGTGCTGGAGCAAGATGGTATCTCATGGTTGTTTTGATTTGCAGCTCTCTAACAGCTAATGATCGTGAGCATTTCTTCATATGTTTGTTGGCCGCTTCAATATCCTCCTTGGTGAAGTGTCTGTTTGTGTCTTCTGCCCATTTTCTAATTGGATTGTGTGTCTTTTTGTTGTTGAGGTGTTTCTGTTATTTTTAGACTGTTAATTTTTATAGAATTTTGTTTCTGTAAATATAATTAATATTCCCATGCTTTATTTGTATGTTGATTTTAATAATGAAAATGAGTCAACAACATTTATGCTATTATAATTATATAACTTTTCACACACACACAGAGGTCCAAGACATACCATTGACCACAATGAAGAAATAGCATCCTAGGTCATTCTGAGGAAATTTTTCCAAGTATCAATTCAGTTTTTAAATTCTGAATTCATTATATGCTTAAAGTCTTGCCTCATTTCAGTTGGCTTCATATTTGACCCGTGACTTTTTGTAAAGATTTATTTTACTAGCATTTGTAATAGGCTTTTTTGTTTGTTATTGACATAACATGCATATACTTTCACCTTATCACTAAGACTCTTAATCATAGTTTCTTAAGCTCCTTAATCATAGTATTTCTTATGCTAAATCCACTTCTTTGTGAAACTCTTCTTGGGGCTCCTTGAAATCATATTCTTCCTTGAGCAGGTACTTTCTTCTTCTTGTTAGTTGTGGTCAAGTTAGCTCTGACTCGTGGTGACCTTAAGCGGAACAGAATGAAGAATGGGCTGGTCCTGTGTCATCTTTATAATTGTTAGTATGTTTGAGTCCATTTTTGTGGTTATTGTGCCCATCCATCTCATTGACAGTTTTCCTCATTTTCCTGGACCCTGTGCTTCACCAACCATCATGTTGTTCTCTGGCAATTGGTCTTTTCTAATGACATGTCCAAAGTAAGCAAAACAAAGGCTTGTCATCCTTGCTTGTAAGCAACATTATGGCTGTATTTTTTCTAAGACTGATTTGGTCATTTTTCTGGCAATGCATGGTATATTCCATACTCATTGTCAATTCAATTCAAATTCAGTTCTTCTGTCTTCTTTCGTCATTGTTCAGCTTTTGCATGCTTATGAGGTGATTGAAAATACCATGGGTTGGGTCAGTCACATTTTAGTCAACAAAGTGACATGTTAGCTATTTAGCACTTTAAAGAGGTCTTTTGGAGCAAATTCGTCCAATACAATGTGTCACTTGATTTATGCCTTCTGCTTTCATGGGCATTGATCCAAGTAGAATGAAATTCTTGACAACTTCGATTTTCTCTCCGTTTATCATGATGTGCTTGTTGGACTAGTTGTAAGAATTTTCGTTTTCTTTTTTTTCAGGTCTAATCCATCCTGAAGATTGTGGTAATTTACCTTCATTACTAAGTGCTTCAGTTGCCTTCACTTTCTGCACATTATAGGTTGTTAATGATCCTTCCTCCAATCCTGATGCCATGTTCTTCTTCATATAGTCCAGCTTTTCAGATTATTTGGTAAGCACACAGATTAAATAAGTAGAATGAAAGGATACAACTTTGCCTGTCTTAGTCTGAGTTTTCCAGAGAAACAAAATCAGTGAAGCATATATAGAAATATATATGTTGTTGTTGTTGTTGTTGTTGCGTGCCGTCAAGTCGGACCCGACTCATAACGACCCCTCCTTGCATTTCTGAGGCTGTATCACTACGGAAGTAGATTGTCCCATCTTCATTTCAAGGAGTGGCTGGTGGGTTTGAACTGCCAGGCTTGTGGTTAGCAATCAAGTGCCTTAGGCACTATGCTATCAGAGCTCCTAGAAATATATAGAGAGAGATTTATTTCAAGGAAATGGCTCATGCAATTGTGGAGGCTTTTATAAATCCACCTCTCAGGACAGGTAACAGGCTGAAAACTGCTGGCTCACATGGTTGCAGGGGCTGATGGACCTAAAATCTAAAGGTCAGGTAGCAGGCTGAAGGCCTCTGTTAGCTCACAGAGTTGCAGGGTTGGCTAATCCTAAATCTGCAGGTATGGCGGCAGGCCAGAGTCTTCTGCAGGTTTATGTCCCAAGAACTGGAAGTCAAGTAACAAGAAGAGTGCAGGTTCAAGAAAGAAAGCAAGTTTTGCCAGACATCCATTTATACACTGGAGGCAGGACACAGTCCAAAGGAAACACTCCTTTCAAATGATTGATTGGTTGCTCACATCAGATCACGAAATGGAAAGTGATTGCATAATGTCTGCCAAACCACTGAGGATCATAGCCTAGCCAAGTTGACATATAACATTAACCATTACACTGCCCCACACTCACACCTTTTCCTATTCTGAACCATGCAGTACCCCTTTGCCCTGTTTGAACAACTACTTCTTGATCCATGTACAGGTTCTGTATGAGTACATAAGTATTATAGAATTCCCATTCTTCATCATGTTATCTATAAGTTATTATGAGCTACACAGTCAAATGCTTTCTTGTACTCAATATGCATCTGACTCCAGTAATAATAAACTTTGTTCCATGTCCTCTTTTGAATCT